CACACACACACACACACACACACACACACACACACACACACACACACACACACGCACATTCCTGCAATTAATGTCAGGACTTTTCTTACTCTCTGAAGCTATGCATCAAGCAGAATAGAGAGCTGACCTCAGTTCCTTTCAAAAGGAGCCTCTAATCCAGCGTTCTTAACTCGATTACAGAGTGTCAGAGGGATCAGAGAAACTCTCTCACCTGTCATCTATCACAATGACGAGACACTGTGAGCTATGAAATCCTGCCAGTGGGAAAGCAGACAGAGGAGAGCAAATGAGAGCGTGACATTTAAGGTGGTGTTAAAGAGTGCTTCATACCTTTCTACACGAGTGACAAATTGCAAATGTTCAACCTGCACACTTAACTTAGTAATATTAGAAAATCAGGGATTCCTAATTAGTAGATTCTACATAAGTAATTGAAGACAATACTACATAATAAATTAATAGCAGAAAACGGCAATTTTTAATGTTAAGTGCTCTTGAGAGCAGACTTGAAATTGCATGTTAATTAATAAATTATGAATGTTTATATTTCTACATTTTTCTTGTGTATTTTTTTCCCCTGATTATCAGATACTGAGCAAAAGCGATAGAGGAATTCTATCTATGGATTTCTTATTTTTATATACCGTGTCTGATTGGTTGGAAAGAAATGGTTGCAAAATCCAAACAACCAGGCTCACATCTTTCTTTTCTCTGGAAACAAGGCATCTATTAAAAGTACTGAAAAAGACAAATATGTGAAATACTTTTGAACGTCTTGCCTTTTTTACAGTGCACTGTGTACACCCAGGGTGGGACCCTCTCATCATGACCTTAGTGTATCATTTTAGTCGCCATGGTCCTTTAATGGATGGTTTCGCAGACTTGTGGAGGGGAGCGAGTGACCACCACAGGAGCCTGTGATGTTGACTGATCAACTCTCTCTCACTCTTTCTCTTCCCTTCGCTTGCTCTTGCCTGGTATGTGCGAAAGCAGGAAGGAGCACGATTCACCGGTGGCTCATTAAAAGCCATTAAGGAGCAGCACGCAGACAGGATGCGGGCAGTGAATAGAGGAAAGCGGGGCAGAGCTATGGACACTGTTACTCACTCTACTCCCCCACCCCACCTCCCATGCCTCCTCTCCATCACACACACGCACACACAACCATACACATTTGCACTCTGTTATCTTCTCCACACAGCACTTCCTATGGCCCCACACATATTCCAACTAGCCCCTGCTCTTAGCTCTGCCAACTCGCGGTTCACGCCCCTCTGACCTGAGCTTGTGATGAACAGGCATGGTGATAACACATTTTTCACTTTGCTGCTCTCGCTATCTCTTTGTCTGACACCTTATCTCTTGTCCACTCTCTTTGTTTTCACATCACTTTGCCCTTTCTCACCTCATATTCTCCATCTCGTTTGATAGTGGCCATCTTTTTTGGCACAATGCTTGCACCGATGGAGCGGAAAAGCCTTGATAAACGGGCCCAGAACACAGCCTGGCGTACTGTCTGGGACCTCTGGGTCACAGAGTTATTTAGAAAAAGGGGCCTGTTTAGTGGGATTTTAGTTCTATGGCGTCAAACGGGAGCTCCACCTGAATTTGACCTTGAACCTGGGAGGGTAGGTATTATCTGCTGTCCTGACTGATGGATAAATTGGGATCATCCTTTGGGTATTTTCCAGGGAACTAACTAAGTTTGTTAATATAGCTTCACTGGTCTTTTTTTTCCAACCATAGCTTCCCATTGAAAGGAATGTTAATGAGTGAAATTAATCAGTCCAACTGTTGTGTAAAAACATAAACACTGAGCTAAAAGACCACAGAAAGCCCCAAAAGATTTGTCAACAAATGGAGCCTGTGGTCTCGTCATCATCAGTGACCACTTTCACACTATGTGATTCTACACCATAAATATGTTTGTTTGTGTATTGTGTGGTTTTCTTTAAGCGCCGATGATTTCCTTCCACAATTAATAACTCAATTTGCGTTAAAAACAGTGTTTTTGTTTGGGCTCTGAGGAAATCCGATAGCATACCCTTCCTGCATTTGGTGGTCCATCAGGTCTCCCTTTCTGAAACCACACATTTGGCAGCTCCCTCCTGGTCTTTAAGCTTTTCTTTAGCTGGGATTCTGGAAAATGCACGCTTCTTTCCCCAATATACAAATGAGCATACACAACGTTGGAAGGTGGTACATCGTAATCACATGAATGTATGGACTAATCACCGCGTCATTATCATAATTAAAGACATTCTACTGTGTTCACGTGTGTTCACTCTTTGTTTGCCACATTATTGCTTTGATTCACTGGCACGCTGCAGACTCAGCTTCAACACTGGCTGTGTGAGTATTTTGAAACTCCTCTGTTGTGTTTCACTCTAACACTGAGCTAAGAGACGTACTGGCACTGTTCAGACTAAAAAAAAACAAAAAACGCTGGCTGTGGTTTGGAGTAGAATGGCTGAGGATCCCTTGCCAAAGACAAATATAAATATAGCAGCGTCATTATCTGCAGCAGTTAACCAGGATCCTTTTCCCTCTCCTGCTCGCACGTGCTGCTTGCAGGTGTTGCCATAGCAAGTAATCCTGTTTATTCAACTGCCCTCCTCTCGCTCTCAACAGAAGTTCCACATTGGTGTTTGCAGGGTTTAGGAAAATCAAATGGAGGGCAATCAGTCTGTTTTGACAAGGCAAAACTCTGCTAGCCTTGATGAGTGCTTGGTGCAGATTTCCCAGATGCGGCTAATTAAAATATTTGTTCGCACATAGGGCAGGTGTGCTATGTGTAATATGGATTTTGGTTGAGTTGATAAATTTTAAAAGAAAATTTGGGACGATTGTAGTCGAATAATTTTGAATCCAGCAGCTGTATTTACATTTCGTATGAGATTAAATTAGAACTCTGCAGTGATTCACACGAGGATTTTCTCCTGCTGTTGCCTGTTTTCAGAGAAATCGGAGTAGGGGCTTGGCTACACATTAGTTCAAATGATTATTACTGTAAGTTAAAGCTATACTTCAGATATTTGTCACCACAAAGGACTGAGCCTGTTTCTTCTTAAAACAAGTCAAATGGCTATCCTACTAAATAAAAATAGCTGTGGTAAAAGGGCAACACAGACTCAGCCAAACAATGCATGTAGTGAAAGACATGGAAGCTGATCTGATCCCGTCCTGTTGTCACGCAGACGTGAGATGACACATTAAAACACAAGCATGAGAGATTTTTTATGAATGGGATAACTACAAGAAGATGTGTCCACTGAGAGACAATAAAATCACCATCCAGAACGCATTTATCGCCACAATCACATCAATATGTGATAAATTTGTCTCCTGTCATTGTCTCATTTCCTGCGCTTAAAATAAGAAATCATGTTTCCTTTTATCCCCTACTTGTATGGCAGCCACATAGGAACAACTGGACGAGGATATTCATTCCAAAGCTATTTTTCAAATAAGTAAATCAAAGCAGTATGTTGCCTCGTTGGTCTGTTTTCAATGTTTAGTGGTCTGGGAAATGTTGTCACATGCTCTGACAACATTGTTAGCTACTACTGTGTCAGTCCTTACTGGCACAGGGGCTTAGTGTTGTGCAAAATGTCCTTGGTTGATGAGCAGTGAGGTTTTACTTAATATATTGCCCCTTCATCTTTCGTGCCGATGATGACCCGACTGCACAAAATCTCCCTCCGGGGGAATACTGCAATCTGTTTGTGGTTTGCAGCTGGATGCAGGTGATGGAGCCTGGAAGACAGCTGTGTGTGAGTGGGACTGGAGTACATATGAAGCCAAGAGGCTGGCTTCCAAAACCTGTAAAGAAACTCGGTAACGAAAGCGTTTTAAATTTAAACAGCAGTAATGAACAAGAGATAATCAGCCTTTGATTAACTGCTCAGTGTCTGCAGAGCTTATGAGAAGACATTGCCAACAGAGAAAGTGTGAGAAGAAAATGAGCACAGTTGGTGGTAACTGCAAAAAATATAAAGGCACTCACTGCAAATCCTCTTTATACACATATGATTGAACAAATGATTAAAATCTCTGCAATGTAAACACATTTTTGAGATTTTAAATCTAGGAGGTTGAGAGTGCAAACTGCAACGAGAGCCTTAGATACAAAAAACAAAACGTAGATTAGCCGTAACTTGTTTCCTGAAATGCTTTGATTTGGTCTGCACATTTGAAAGAAAATACATTTGCTAATTGATTGGTGCATATTTTGAAACAGCGCTGCTGATTGGTTTACCCATGGCCTGATTACTATTTATGTTGGAGTTTCAATGGCTTCCTGTTGGGCTATCACATCATACAAAGCAGGGGTTTAATCTGCAAACGCTCTTTTACAGATACATTTTCTGCCGCTCTTTAGAGTTAATGAAATTGTTTTGTTTTTATGTTTCATGCAAGTCCGGTCACTTAACATTCCCATTTTTTCACATGAGGTCTTTAGACATAGAGCGAGATCATGTGATTATTTGTAGAAATCTTTCAAGGTAAAACATACAGTACTTTTAAAGTAACAAAGCCATGTATCAGTTTTGGGGCCCATGAAAGTGTAGAATAAAGGAAATTGAATTTCCCCTCATCATACTGACAAAGTCAAATTTTGACATTTGATTGCAATAAAAAAAAATTACAACAGCAAACGACTTTAATGTGATCTCTTTGCATTACTCAGCAAATTCTGCAGGTCTTCATGCAAGCTCTTCATGTGATCTTTTAGGAACAGACAGGTGGCAGCAGAGAGCCATGAGGCCAGAGCAGCTAATGCCCTGGGGTCCCATGCAACACAATTAGAATGTGTCTTTTATTCCATGCCAGCTCCATCTTAGTGTCAGGACATTCAGAAGGTAGAAAAGCAAGGGAACAACGGCAGAAGTGACAAAGCCAAAGAAATGTAGTGAGCAGAAGATGAAGCCACACACATGCTGGTGATGGGACGCAAGCCCTGGATAACACTGTAAGTAATGACATTTCTTGAACATGTTTTATGTCATTTGGAGTGTCTGAATGGCATTTCATGGAAGGCAAATGGGCTTTAGCACACAGGTGATATTGTGGAGGTGAACAAGCTGATGATTTGCCATTTAATTAAATCACATATTTAAAATATGTTCATCATGATTCTTTCTCCCTATGTCTTTTATGGCCACGCAGAGGGCCTTTTTTTAAAAGCATTTTTGGTCTGGTGTCAGCATTTTGGCACAGGGGAGTGATTTAAGGAGGCATGGCATGCTTGCCATGCCCTTCACCTGACTGTTCCAGTCTGCCTTCAAAGTGTATGCAAACAATTAAAATGCCACAGCCCTTTTAATTAGCTCCAGGGTACAGATTGACAGCTCTGGGTGTTGGTGATAGCACAGTAACTAGCTATTACTCTAAATATTTGGTGCGTTGCATAGTTCAGACCATAAGCGTGGGATATGGATGAGTAGGTTTGTTTCTGTTTTTCCTATAGTTGACAGTCTACTTGTTTTGTTTCATTTGGCATCTTCATAGACAAAACAATAGTACTTGATAAGGCAAGTAGAAGGGTTTTTTTAAGGTTATAACCTCAATTAGTGCTCAGATCCAATGTTTCAAAATGTGTCATCAACACCGCTTCGCTGTGCCACCTTGAAACAATGTTGATGTTGACCTGAAGATTACAAAGTTCAACCTAAATCACCGAGCTACAGCTCAAAAGCTCGGGACAAAGCTCATAGACGTCTCTTAGGTCTGAGCAGTTGAGATTTAATTGATGGTTAATCTCTTTGAAAAGAGATATTGACCACTTTTTAATCAAATACCTTTAGAAAAAAGCGTAAAAATATGATTTAAACTTCCAGCTTTAATTTTTTTCAATGCAAATTAAAGAAAAAAAAAGTGGATCCATAAATAAATAAATGGTAAAATAAAATAAAAATAATACCTACAAAGAGCACTAGATGCTAGTATGACCCTGTTATTTCAGTGTCAAACAAGTTTTTGCTTTTGATCTTAAAACCACTCACAATAATTGTTTGTCACTGAAATGAATTGAAGTGTAATACCTCAGTAATGCATATCTCCACAGGTTCTTAGAAGTTTATTGCACTGGCAGCTTTGGCAACAGCATCAAAGACAAGCACGGGCAGATGAAGAATAGAAGTTCCATGGCATGTGTTGGATATCACATTTCAGTTCAAGTGGAAATCCTGCAAACGTCTCTGTGCGTTTCAACGCATTCACTCTCTCTCTAATTAAACCTGTTGTTTTCACTCAGCCAAAAATATTTTACTCCATAGGTCACCTCAGCGGTTGTTATAAGAATGCTGCTGCTATTGTTTACAGTCTGCTGATATTGTGTGGCACTACGCTACTAGACAAGTGACAACATGCTGCTTACTGATCTTTCCCCATCCTGAAAAACTGGCAGATTCTGTTGATTGTGTTACACTTCAGCAGTTTTTTATAATTTAACAATAGGCGACTGGATGATATACTAGAGTGATAATATGCTCCAAATTTTTTGTGCAATTTAAAAGGTAACCCACATTCAGTATACATGCTTTCAATAACATGACTGAGCAGTCACGCACCCTGATCCTGACCCCTGATTTTGGTGCTCGTGGATATGACATTTATTATTTACAGCAGTGCAACTGTGTGAGAGTACATCTGAGTCTCTGGTGAGGCCCAAGTTCACTGCAGGCCCCTTCCACCATTCTTAAAATGTAATTATAGGGTGAATTTTTTTTTTTTTTTTGACACAGGCATTTGACAACTCTGTTTAAATTTTCCATTTGCGTAATATATTGAGCCAAGATGATTTGTTAATATTCACAAGTTGTTATTTAACATAATTTCAGATTTTTGTAAAGAAAGAAGAAAAAAAAAGGAGGGGCATTATTTTAATTTATTTATTTTAGATAAACGTAAAACCTACAAACATTTATTTTGTTATATAAATAAATATCTTACAGTAGGAATAAAAGTATTTTAGTGTGGAAGTGTGTGATTGAGTTTTGGCTTTTACAATGATGTAAAAGAAAAATAATGAAAACAACGAATTAGGCCAAATATTGATGTTATGTTGGACTACTCAAAGTGCACCGAAATTTTACTCTCAATTATTACAAGATATAGCCCAGCTTAGTACACACATTATGGACAAATTTCAAACAAAACACAACTGAACTAAAACAAAAATATAAATATGATTTCCCTATAAATAGGATTTAGAATAAAAATTTCCTCTTTAAAAGTATGCTAAAAGGTTAACAATTTCCGTGTTCAATTTTAAATAAATACAGCCCATTTTTTTATGTAAAAGAGACAAGTCCTATTTTCCCCCTCTAATTAAGGGATTTTAATAAAATAAAATAAAGATTAGGCCTGTGGGGTTTATCTAGTATATGCTTTTTTCTAAAAGCATGTATTCCCTTAAGGCCAGACCTTAATGTTGAGTGTGTGTTGATGTTTAGAGATGGCGCAGATCCAGCGCGGCGCAGTCCACCCCATCGGGACTGTATTAGATCTCTAATTGATGCCTCTCCCCTCGTCGCTGACAGTTACGCACAAACCAGGATCAGGTCACGGAATTTAGCGCGACCTGAAGAGGTGGCGTAGACCGCCTTCAGAGCCTACAGTGGATTAAAAACATAATGAGGTGAGTCGAGGTTCAGCTGCTTTGATTGTAAAGTAACTTTTTAAACTTAAGGATTGTCGGATAACCGGAGCGGAAAGGCGAATCACTTGTTTTTATGACGATTTTAAAGTAATGAGTGAGCTATTTTTTACACTACTTCTATTTAACAGACGTCATGGCTAATTTACATGTGAAATTAAACATGTTCAAATTTGGATCAATCCACAATCTGCCTTAAAGCTGGCAGGTTACATTTTATTCACAGTAAAAACAAACAAAAAAAAACAACAAAAAAACAAAAAACAAACCCGAAAAATATTTTTTGTTATGTTAAAGATTTACACGTGTTTTAAAACACATCAAAGCAGCCCCGAAAAATAAGGCCTCGAACAGATATTTGTTGGCTTTACTTTCAGGATTATGATAATAACGATAACTCTGTCACAAATCTTAAATACTTAAAATGAATGAATTATTAATTTTGTGATGGAATTTACATAATAGGTTTGGAAATTTTCCGTGAGCAGACATTATAGAGGTTTACAGCTTCATGAATATTACATCTCTCCTTCAGTTCAAGTATGTGACATTGCTGCTTTCAGCAAGTTTATTTAGTCTGCTATTCATCCTCAAAGTGCCCTCACTTGTTCTGCAGAGCATGGCTGAGAAAGTAAAACACACCAGGGCCATAGGAAGAAGAAGACGAGAAGAAAAAGAAGAAATCTCACACAACAAATTATTTTTTTTAACCAGTTTTGCTTTGTTTTATTTTATTATTTGCTATTTGCTATATAAAAACACTATTAGTCAACATGTATGAATTTATAAAAGCTTGGACTGAAATAAGTTTGAGGATGAAATATATAAACATTACAAGCTGAATCATTTTTGGATGATCTTTCTTACTGTGCTGCACTTTGACTAAACCGTCCTGTAAGTATATTGTTATGTTTGTGTCAAACAGGAATGTTATATGAATTATTTCTTCAGTTCCCCAGAAGTCACCTTTCTCCCTGGTCAATAAAGGTGTTGACAACGTCATGCCATTTGCGTGTATTCTAATGTGTGTGTGTGTTTGCTTGTTTTCATGCTTGTCACAAAGAAATAGAGAGTGAGAGGTCGGGGTGGGACTGCCATCGCTGTTGAATTTATGAGTGTGTCGTGAAGCATCTCTGACGCAGGCAGACTAAACAGAGTCTGTGCGTACACGTAAACACGTACATACATCCTGCTCTCATCAGAGAAGACATCACGGGACATGAAAAACAGCACAAAGCCAAACTGTGGAATTAATCATAAAGATGAGTTCTATTTTATCCATTGACCAGTCGAACTGTAAGGCCGTGTGGCTGCTGCGTGGCTGCAGCTCTTAAAAGGAAAATTATACTGGTGTCAGCAGAAAACGTAACTGGTAAAGTCATGTTTATAGTGAAACAGTCCTCAGACTCACCCACCCATCCCCATCCTGCAACCCCTCACTGTGGTTTCTCTTTTTGCACCTTGTGTTTTGCTTTTGTTGTAAGTTTCTTCCCGGCACTGACAAAAGGGGACAATGTTGTCTGTTACATAAGACCAACCTAGTATTGTTAAGAGTTGGGTGACTTTGGAAACATACATTGCACTTCTTGATATGGAAGATTAGGCTCGGATGAGGATGTTCATTCCCCCTCCTTTTCATCTATGTTTTGACTAGCATGCCAGCTCTCTGACTAAGAGTGAAGTGCCGACACCCCTGGAGTGGATTCTGAGCATACCAAGGAGGAGATGCCTTTGAAAGGACAGATGTTCCTGGGCTTAGCCTGCCTCCTACCCAACCTACCCACCACTCGCCTTCCATTGTATATTTGTTCTTGCTCTATAAATAACTGGCCGGTATAAGTCACAGAAAAATGTAACTGATGCGCCGCTGACCTCTGAGCCCCTCATCTTTGGGAGTGAAAGACACTTTGAAAAGAAGCAACTAAAGCATTAGAAAAGTTGGCTGATGCAGACATGGTAAATGGATTTGGGCTAAGGGACACAGTGAGCACACCCATTTTGTCCACATAAAGACCGGTCTTGATGTCTGGACCGGCTCAGCTGTCTTATGTAACAGCAGTTTGTAGTCGTGACAGATGAGGCGTGATGGGCTCAAGCCAGTTCAGCCACATAATCCAAAAATATACCAGCCGTATTTATGAGATAATATAAGCGTATTTGGAGTTCTTAAAATTTCAAAACTGAAAGCCAAGTTTGCTTGCCTGAGAATTTCCATGTCGGTGGAAACAAAATGATACCCAATAAAAATATTTAAAAATATTTATAATATTTAATTTTTCACCAAAACTTCTGTGCCACTTCAAGTACCAAAAACGATCACGTGTTGCTAGTTTCCACTTGAAGCCTTTTTGCAAGTTTTGTGAGACTGCAGAGTGTTTGCCCTCTCGCTGTGGCTGCAGGGATGAATGGATGATTGTTCTTTGGCCCTTGTGACAACCCTCCTGGGGCCCATCAATTCGCCGAGCCTCCTGGAACATCAGGTCATGGCTAACCAGGCTCTGAAGCGGCAGCCTGGCCTCACTGTGCTGATTTTTCCCCAGTTAGAGCTCAGGACCTCCAGGGCGCACAGCTGGGTCCCTTAAAAAAGCCCAGCTGAATGGTTTTAGAAACACTGCAGCTCCTCTTACCCCACACTCACTCTCCATCGAGAACAGCGCCGATATCAGATACTGTGTTTTTTACTTGATATGTTCATCTTTGCTTGCCAAAGCCCCTGGAAACCGTATTAAAGTCTGTGTTCCATATTTTCAACCAATGGGCCTCTTTAAGTCGAAGAATTTGTCCAAAATTTCCATCAACCCCTTTCTCCTTTTCTTTTCCCACATTTTTCTCCACATGTCTACATTTCCCTGCCTCTTCCCCACATGCTCACACACATCTTAATTTTCTCTCTTCCCCCCTCCAGCTCTGCTATCGTGTTGTATCAGTTACAGCTGACCACCAGTCAGGTGGGTCTGCGGGAGATTTTAGATCACGGAGGGGCAGCCAGCTCTCTCAATGCCTTCAGCCTGCTCCTAGACTCGAGTCCCAGGCCCCGCTGAGGCCTTGTCATGGGCAGCGCAAAGAGACACCTGGCCAAACTACAGAAACACTTCCAGCTGCAGGCTGCCTGATGCTCACCACAGAGAGAATTCAGGCCAAAGGTGGAGAAGTGGAGCTCAACTATTTCTCTGGGTTTGAGTCCATATCGTGTTTATTTTAATTGCAGCACCAAGCATTTGCCTGTAGAATCTGAGGCTGTTTTTCTTTTTCTTTAAAAAAATAATAATTGCACAACATCACAATAAAATTCTCATTCCATAAAACAAAGTGAAAGAGCTTTAAGACTTCTCTCAAAGTGAAAGTGGAGCAACTCAAGGGGCAGAGAAAAAAAAACGCCTGAGAGAGAACAACAGCTCCCTTTTCTCTGCAACCAGTTGACATGAAAGACCACATTATGTCTGAGATTAGAGGCAATTACACTGGGAGTGCGCTTCAAGACCTTTGTTTGCCAACATGACAGGAGGGAGCAGGGCTGTAATTTGATGAGGGGGCTGCGCGAGTGAGAAACTCTGCATGGCAAGCTCCTGGCAGACGGGAGGCAAAGAGAAGCCTTTGTCCGTGGCGCGACCAAGCCTTTTGGTAGAAATGTAACTGTTTAGATGAATCTGATGAATCTGAGATAAATTACTTGCAGGAGACCTTTTAAAAAAAAAATCCCCATTATCAGATTTATAACACTGCTACTATATTAGGCTGAAAAGCCAGTTTAAAGAGACTTTTAACCCTCTGGGGCAGGTACGTTTATGTTTGCCTTTTGTTCCACATGACGGTTCAAAAGCCGCTTTCTCTATTGTTTCAGCATTTATATTAATTCAAATGCCACAATTGTGTCGGTTCATTCAAATGTCACAAATACTGTAAACACGAGATTCAAGCTGAACCTTCGGTCAAACAAAAGCAGCACACCGGCTCTTCGAGACGTGACATCTCCTCTATTCTGGCCCGGAGCATTGTTCGAGCACACTGAGAGTTTTCAGGACAGGAAACGAGCAGCTTGTTCCAGACCCACCGGCAGAATGGAACACGTCTTTATTTGAGGGAAGTCATTCCGCTGATATATAAAACACCAAAGCAAGGTTTCCTTCCCCCTCACTTTCCTGGTGCTATCCCCTTCAAAAGGACATGTCCTTTATACTGGGCTCACATGCACACACGGGACCAGAAGAAAAATAAACAGAGGCAATTTAAATATCAACCAAACCTGCCTTCTGTTTGAATGGAGGCAGCTCGGCTTCAGCTCGTCCGGTATGCTGTGGTGCAAACGTGTTCAGGCTTTGGGTTCATGGTTGGAAAGCAAACTGAGAAGCAACAACAAAGCAAGGCTATAGTATAAAATTATTATAGTATAGTATCTAATATAAGGCAGCTTATCCCAGAAACAGAAAACCACACAAATCCAGAGGGCTTAATGGTAAAAGATGGCATTCAAAGGTAAATTTATTGCATTTGTTGACTTGTTTGTGATTGAGCATTCAATGACACAAATGATAGCTTTAGTCCAAAATAAATAGCGCATAAAGCTATTTATTTTTGCATGCATAATGAAGTTCACGTGTCGTAGAAAGTTATTGGTAAATATCTTCATCAGCATCTAATCCTATACTTTTCACCCCCTGCTGTCTTTGCTGTTCTCTTTGGCCGAATTTTCCCATAAGGCTGTGTGAAAGGAGGAAGAGGACCACCTATTAAAGTGAAATTGTAGGAGTGATGGATGGGAGGCTGTTGAGGGGGAGTAGAGCAGCCAGCATACACCTCAGGGGAGGGGAGGATGATGAACAGGGGGTGGGAGAGCAGGGGAGAGTTCACCAAATCCAAACTCACACCTCTTGCTCTGGGGTGGAGCTGGTGGAGACCTCCCATGCTGACTTGAAATTAGACTTCATTCTCAGAAAAACATTTGCCTGTTTATCCTAAAATGTCCATCACTTCCATTAAAAAATATGACTTAAAAAATATATAAATTATGGAGCTGCAGCAATTCTAGTTATGCGTTATATTCTTAGATGAAACTAAGAAATTCTTCAAGAGATATGTGTTGATGATCAAATCAGTCAGTGCTCATGTGGTCCAAGCATTTGTAGCCATTTCACATGCATCATCATTTTTATCCAGGATGTCAGGTCAACTTGTAAAACTCAAAGACATGCAGTTAGCTAGCTTAGCTTAGCCATACATTTAGACATACTTTCTTTTTGCATTTCTCAGATGAGATTTAACTTTAAAAAAAGAAGAAGATATATGTTTATCTACTGATTGATAAATTATAAAATGACTATGTTTGGTCATTTTACAACAGGTGACAAGTTTTTCATTATTTTTTAATAACCAGTACAGACTAAACTTAAATACACACTCACGCAGATACATTTAGGCACAATGCTACATAAACGTATGGTGCACAGACCTTAACCGGTTTCCACAAAACAATAAAAAAAGGAAGGGATGCTTTTGAAAAGTGCTCACCGAGAGTTGAGTCTTCTAGAGCAAAAATGATATTCAAAAAACAAAAAACAAAAAACCCCTGCTGGAATCAACTTTGTCACTTTCTAATCCTGTAGTCAAATTTCACGACAATAAAGTCATAAAGAGGCAAATGGAGCGGCTGTAGCACTTGTGGTTTAATGCCTGGGGTGTGGAGGAATTACTGCTGTAGTAGTTTGCCT